TACAGTCAAGATATTCTCAGGTGCCTTCTCAAAGACACTAATGCAGAAAACTTGTAAAAAGCAGAGACATGTAAAAGGACTATAAAAGTCAACTAGAGAGAATGAATGTCCAGTGTGAATGCTGTTTAGAACTTTATTCTCGTGATTTTTTGTGGACACTGGCAAGAACTCAAAAATTGAATTCATTTTGCCCCACAGAATTCACTGCATCAGACCAGCCCTTTTATTGTTCCTTATGGCTGCATCCTATTACACTTATAAAGCAGTGATTCATACACTTATCTAAATAACTCTGCGATAGAAAACCTTGTCATTTTCATTTTCTGAAAATACAGAGGAAAATACAGTACATGCTAACAAAGGATATTAAGCTCAGGTGTGGGTTTTAATGTTTTTTCTGTCTGATAATATGATTGTTTTTATTATGTTCACTAATACGAATTAAAATACTCTCACCCTTGTTCTTGCTTCTATTTGTTAATGCTTTGTAATAAATAAATAAAGTTTTTATTAGTATAATTTTCGGCTTCAGCATTCCCTGTGAATCAAGTGAGGGGATAGGGGAAGGGAGGTGCTCCTGTCAGCACAGTGACTCTTTTGTCAGGAACAAGGAGGGCTTCTCTCCCCCCTTACTTTGAATTTAGCTTGAATAAGCATTTTTAAATGTGAAAAAAGGGAACTGAAAACTAAGGAATGAAGCCGATGATTCTGTACTAGTAATCTGCAAGACAACTTAAGATGTCAGAAAACCAGTGGAAAGCAGCACAAAGTAGCTTTTAAGTGAGCTGCAAATACAATTTAGACACTAAACGCTTTATGGGAAAGAGAGCTTAGCACATAGCCCCAGGAAACAACCTGCCTTCCCCAGGCAGCGCAGGGTCTACTGAGCAAGCTGAAAAGTTAAAAAGCAAAACGAACAAAAAACAAAGAAAGAAAGAAAGAAAGAAAGAAAGAAAGAAAGAAAGAAAGAAAGAAAGAAAGAAAGAAAGAAAGAAAGAAAGAAAGAAAGAAAGAAAGAAAGAAAGAAAGAAAGAAAGAAAGAAAGAAAGAAAGAAAGAAAGAAAAGAAAGAAAGAAAGAAAGAAAGAAAGAAAGAAAGAAAGAAAGAAAGAAAGAAAGAAAGAAAGAAAGAAAGAAAGAAAGA